GTATACATAATGCATGTGAAATGCAAAATGATTGATTTTCGTGAGCCTTCCATTAAGCCACACTGTCAATAGTTTGTGGTTGGGTTCTTCAAAACATTCGCGCGTCTTCTCGTGAAATTATAAAAGAAATACAAAAAACAAAATGCTCGTCGACGATTGCCTAATTGATAAAAATGCGCAATAAAACACTCGCTCCGGCTTTGTATTGTTACGACGCTACTGATGATTGTGTTAATTGATATTTTGTGTTGAAATGCAAGCATGTAATGGATGCAAAATAACAAGCGACGAAACAAGCGCACGTTACACATGCAAGAAAATAGGGAACCAACCTCTAGAGCATGCAACTTGAACTTGATCGTCATTTCCATATTTCTCATGGCAGGCTAAACTGTTAGAGAGATTAGACATAGTGTAATAGTTGATACAATGTGATGCATTTGTTGGAACCGAGCGTTGGAATTCCAAGTAAATCCTTATGAGTACTTTTCGTTTTTTTTTCGTTGATTTCGTTCAGTATTTGCATTTCGTTCAAAACCGAAACGAACACTTAGCGATAGATTTAGTAAACGAGAGTAGAAAAAAGATGGCATCAAGTAGCACATATTCTTGGGTCCATCGACTTTAATCTGATTTCTGTGTGTTTGCCACACTCTTTCGTTGTTCATTCGTCGAAAACCGCCATTCATTCGTGTTTATTTAATTAAAAATTCATATTTTATCATCGTCGATTGCATGCGCAAGAGCCACTTCCAACAAGAGTCTTCCGATCTCAAGCCCCAAAAACAACGAACCGAACGAGTTCTTGAACTTCTTCGGAGAGTTCGCAAAAATTAATGGAACTGAACATTTAACACAACGGCGAAGAAATTGTTATAAACGATTATGTGAACCGTTTTATTTATAATAATAACCGAAGAGACCGAAGCGAGACTGAGAATAGAAGAGCAAGCTATCAAGCCATCGGGTTTTACAACGGCAATCGGTTAAAAAGAGGCAATAGAAAAATATTTGTATCTGATTTGTGATGTGTGTTTCCATTTGTTTGCATTTATATTTGTTTGCCGAGTGTTTTTTGTTCTTTCATTCTTCAGTTGCGCTCGCGCTCACACACACACATGCCGCGTTCATTCCTTTTCCGTTTCGCGATCCTGTTCTCATGGAATATTCATCGGTTGTGAATGTATCATATTATATGGAGATGGCATGATGTCATTTTTATAGCCGGTATTGACGTATGTGCGCGAGAATGAACGAATGAACGAATGAGCGAACGGTCGCAACTTGCCGCTACTACACTGCTCAAATTCAGGCAACTGTGATTAGCTTTGAGTTAAAATGCGCATTCCGTTCGCATTGATAGTGTGACGGAATGAGATAGCGACACATCGAAATGGGAAAGAATGAAGGGAAAAAACGAACCGAAACGACGGTTAAAGTACACACAATCGAAAATAAAGAACACATTTGTTTGAATTCCACTTCTTTGAAGATGTTCGTTGGAAGTTTTTTTTCTTTCCTCTTTCGTTTTTTTTCTTCATGTTATTGTTTTTTTTTTCGGTGGAATAGCGAGAGAGAGAGAGAGAGAGAGAGAGAGAGAGAGAGAGAGAGAGAGAGAGAGAGAAAAATATCGCTCTCGCGCGCGTCACGTATTGCATACTCAATGATTCGATTCGTCTTCATTGTTAAGTGGAAACGTATACAAACAGTAACACATGCCATTGCCATCGAAAACGACATAGACAAAAATACAGATGACTCAATGGCTTTAGCATGCGGACAAGAAAGATTGTTAAATGTTCGTTTTTCATGCTTTCGTGCATGAAATGCGATTGTTTGTTCGTACAATCGCTTGTTCGTTCCGAATGAAACGAAATGAAAATAGTTCATTTTTTTTCATTGTTGATGTGATGACAAAAATCAATTTCAACTCGGAACATAATTTATCGCTTAATTTTAATTTTCCGAATTCAGACGTTCGTTTTTTTTGTATTGTCACTCAATAAACAACAAATAGATTTTGTCACCGAATGAAATAACACACATAATTCATATATTGAAAACAAAAATCACGCGATTTTAGTGTGTTGCATGTCGAATAACAACAGCAACAGCCACAATGGAACAAACGGAGTGAAAATGTATCGTGCGTTGGAGAATGAGCAATATATGTGATCACATACGTTGTTTGAAAGCAAATTGAAGATAAAGAGAACTTAATTGCCTGTTAAAAATTGATCATAACATTGGTCAATAGTGTAATATTATGCAATGTGACGCGATATTAATTGAATGTCAGAAAACGAAAAAATGAGCTCACAATTGAACACACATGAATTAACCTTTGCGATTCCAATTTTGGTGGTGCATACTGCACATTTTGCTCCATTTTTTTTTCAATTTCATTGTTCATTCTGTCTCCTTTAACGAAGACAGGATTTAATTTCGCGGAGAACAACAGCAGCAAAAAAATCCACCCGATTGGAAGTTATAATACGAATCACGTATTCAACTTATTATTTTGGTCCATGAAATGGTGTATATAAAAACAATGTGCAATGATTCGATGCAAATACATCTGCAACGGTGAAATTATCGCCGCTTTCAATTTCATTGAACACATTTCTCTTTTTTTCGGTCGGTTTTATTCACCGACACATTTTTCTGGTTTATTTGCAAACGGTGATTGTAATTGCGTTTGACACGAGCAAAAAAAAAATTTATCTATAAATAATAATTTTTTTCTTCATTCGGATTGGTTGGATTTGGGTGAAAATTGCATTGTCGGTAGTGCATGTTGATTTGCATGAGTGTATTGGTGTCAAGGGGGAAACTACTACTACCGCATAATTCATATTAATACAATCTAGTACAACACCAATTCTGATAAATTCCAAAGAATTCTGCGCAATTCAGAACAATTCCAATCAATTCCGATGTTTCTAAGTCAAATTTGATGATGATCAACTTCAAAAATTGCAAATATAGGGTCATTTAGCATCTCAAAGGAATGCTTAAGCGCATAGATGTTCAATCTTATCGAAATAACTTCAGATATGGCGTTTTTAATTGTACATAGGTCTCACTTCCAATTCAATATTTCACTTAAAATAGGTAAAGGCTTTATGATACATAAAATATTTTTAAAATGGAAAACAGAGCTAGAATTGAGTCTTGTAGATCAAAACAAGTCAAATATGTTCTGGAAGTAAAAATCTTCAATATGCATTCAAATGAATGGTAAATGTCCCTATATTTGCGATATTTTGAGTTGATCATCACCAAATTTGACTAAGGAACATCGGAATCGATTGGAATTGTTTTGAATTGCGCAGAATTTTTTGGAATTTTTCAGAATTTGTGTTGTACTAGATTGTATTAATATGAATTACGCGGTAGTAGTAGTTTCCCCCTTGATTGGTGTATGTGTGTGTGTGTGGTGTTCCAGTGAAGTGGAAATTGGAAACGCAAGCGACATATAACATGTAAATGTTTTACTAATGGCTTTGTAAAGTCGTTGCACGCGGGGCATGCGAGAGATCGGCTATGCTTTGTGCACGACATGCACACATTGAACAAATGACGTGGCAAAATATAGGTCAGCGCAATTTATTAATTTTAATGCTCGAAAATTGTTTATCTATCGAATGATGGCACGATGCTATAAGCCTCCCGCTCCGTTCGTTCTCTCTGTCTCTCATTCTTTGCTACGCGTTTGGCTCTTGCAACGCAAATCGCGCGCTTGCATCGAAATAACATAGAAATGGGAGAGCGCTGAACAAGAGATATGGAAATAAATTATATTTTGTCGCATTCCCATTTAATCGAAATTATTATCTGACACACAAACAAATAATAATAATAAGCGTGCTGAAGCCCAGCGTTCGATATATACGTTGCGCCACACCGTGCGATGAATGGTGATCCAATTTCTTGGGAGAGGCAAAACCGAAAACCAAACAGATACAACAAATTCTTTTCGACATGTTTATTCTTGGTCGCTGTGTGTCTCTCTTTGTGTGTATGTGCTTGTCTGTGATGCAAGAAATGGATGGCTTTGGTGGCGACCAAAGGCGAACTCTGCACACAGAATGATGAAAAATCGTCTCTTTGCTCAACGGAATTTTTTCTTGTGACAAAGAAACAAAGTGCAGCGAAACCAAAAGAAGAAGAAGAAGAAGAAGCAGTATATATGAAGAGAAAAGAACGATCAAGTATGTTTGGCATTTTAAGCTGTAAAGATACGGTATTTTCGTGCGCTTTGCCATCGCCATGAACTTGATTTGTTGGAACCCACAATCGAATTGTACAATCGAAGGAACACAACACAAACCGAACAACAACCGATGCACACAAGAAGAAAAAAAAAACAACCAAACTCCAAGCACGACAACGAACAGAAAAACTGGAAATAGGCGCATTGTGCAATGCATCGTGCACACATGCAACAGCACACAGAAAGAGCCGAGATGGCAACAAAGAGACCAAATTGCATTTCGCGCATCTCTCGCAAAAACACACGAAACGGAATCGGCGAACGAACAAAACAGAAAAAAAGCACTACAATATTTGCTCGATCGACCGACGAAGAGAAGGTTAAATATTTAACAATAAAGCAATGAATCTGAGCCTCGAACATTGCCTCAACAGCAAATGCACAGAGCGAGTGAGAGACCAAGAGACAAAGACAAAGCAAAGCCATTCAGCAAGAGGAGCGAAGAAAAAAAACCCAGTCATACTCACTTCTTCTAAGTGCAACTGCACACCAAAATAATAACAATAATAATCCATGATATTGAGAAGAAAAACGAATGAAAAATAAGAACCTATTTACAAGAGGCCCGAAGAAAGGAACACTCCGAAGAGTTTTGCAAACACACATTTAAATCACACAACAACAGCAACAGCAACAAAATTGAAATAAAAATATAAATAAAGAGAAAAGAACACAGAGGTATAAGAAAGGGAAAAAAAAGACCAAAGTAAAATCATTTACATACTTTTTTTTGTGCTTCAGCAGCGAATCCGGATTTTGGTGCACGATTAATCGACATAATAATGAGGTGAAATTGTAGATGACAGCGGGTGTACGAAAACAACAACAAATATTAACTAAACAACTTAAATAAAAAAAACGAACGAATAACCAATAGTTGCGCTGTGTATCCGTGTGCAAGTTTTGAAATGACTCTTTTGTCTTCGATTTCGCTTTGGAATGGACTTTTTTTTTAATTCGATGTCACACAAATTCTTTTCGACTTTTTTTTTTAAATCTCTGTGTTGATTGTTTGTTCGCTGAACTAATCTCGGCTCTAAATCCAAATATGTTTGATTGGTTTTCAGCGATGTGCAGCAAGCGTTGGAGGGAAAAAAAAGAACGGGAAAAAAACTATTAAAAAATTTGCAATTTTTCGCAACAATAACTTAACACAAGAACCAGAAAAATTTTACAGCTCAAAATGTAATAAAAATTGAATGGAGTATGAACGAAAAAAAAAGAACAAAACGAACGTAAAAAATTCAAAAAAAAAAAAAAAACAAAAAACAAGTTAATCAATTAAAATGAATAAACCGAAATTGCAAAGATTACAGTTATTATATGTGTATGCTGGACGACGGAAGAGAGTCTTCGATCACCGTGTGTATTCGATACGAGCATTAAAATTTAACTGAAACCAAGTATGGTGAACCGCCACTAAATAGGTACTTCATGCACACACCAAACTTCTAGAGCACACATTCAATTATACACTTCTCTCTCTCGCTCTATCTCTCTCTCTTCCTCTCGTTCTCCCTCTTCGCATATCGCATGGAACGTGTTAACGAACAAACAATCAAACCGAAACAACAAACTACAAAAACAACACGAAGCGACCAACAGCACCAACTACAACCACAATAGCATGAAGAAAGAAACAACAGAACGAACAGAGGAAAAAAACACATGCGACGAAAAAAGGCGCACGGGATCGAAAGAAAGAAATGAAACGAAGAAAAGAATAATAAATAATGATGCGGCGAGCATTCGGGCTATCGCGCTCGTTCACCGTGCTGCCTGTGTGAGTGAATGTTGTCGTTGGCTTCATCGTTGTCGTTGTTCGGTGTGCAAGTGACTTAATGCAATACACATGTAAATTTGGCATTATTGCCATGTTTGCAACGTGTTGTTTGAGTTCTAGAAGCTCAATACCTTCCAATTGTTATCTTGTCGCACTCATTACTGCACAACAAACACCATCACAATTTCGGCTTCTTATCACTCTCACCATGATTTTTTGCCGACGCCAAATCACATGTCTTCTGCTATTCGATTTATACTTAATTCGCTTAAAATAGTTTGCCATTTATTGCACTGGAATGCTCCAGTTATGATATCATTTCGTGAGTTTGTGTCGGAACAGTGGCAAAAACACAAAACGAACGATTCTTATGTTGACAATTTGCATTCTGATAAATCAGAATCTAGTACGGTTCATCATTTTGCCTACATTCAGGAGATTTTCTACTCAACCATATGTTGTTTTACATGAATAAAGCTTAGAAACCTAACTCACAAGAAGAAACACACATTTCGCGTACCGAAACAGACGAGTTTTGAAATTCAAACTTTTTAAGTTCAGTTGGCGCCATAAATACCGAATGAAATATGGTCGCGATGCTTAGAAACAGAAATTTAATTCATTTAAATTCAATAAATCTCGTCGCGACATCGAAAAAACAATGAAATATTCACCGTGCGCGCGGGGTATGGGCACGACTGTGGGCTGAGTGGGAAAAATCGAATTTTTCGTAAAAACATATAGAAAAAGATCATCTCGAGTAAACACATTTTAATGTTAATATAATGTGTTCACAAACATCGACAACTCTGAAAATCGTACCCGATTTATGTAGTGGCTGAATGTGCGGCGGGTAACGCACATGTGTGCAAATGTCAAACCGAATCCCTGAGATTGTGTCATTTCATTATGTTGCTGTTGTTTTCTGTGTGTTCAACGCATACTTGTAATGCCATTACAAACTCTCTCTCTCTCTCTCTCTCACTCTATCGCTCTTCATAGCCGAGCATGGCTCCGAGTGTGTCTATTCGTAATCGCATCGAATCGAAAATTCGCGCAGGAAAAGCGAATCCATTACCATTGTGTGTTACATAAATCTCCAGCCATTTGCCCCCATTACTTTTATTTATACAACGCATCGACAGAGACAGAGAGATTCGCGCGATACACTCACCGAGTAAACGGAGGAAGCAGAAAAAAACAAAAGACACTGTCGAACATTGCAAGCATTTCACGGAATTTAAATAAGCTCATTATGGACGACACAAAGTGCGAGTGATAGTAATATGTGAGCTCAATGCTAAATGCGTCGTTGTCATCGTCGTCAAAACTGCCACAGCCCCTCTCAGCATACACAATGCAAATACTCGTGTTCACTTCAGTTTTTCATTTGCCATTTCCACCTAGTGGAAGCAACTTATCGGGCTGTGTTTGTGTGTGTGTGTGTGCTACCAGTTTGCGATGACACATAAAAACCTGACGGCACGAATTGCAAGCGCATTTTCTCGTTTACCAAAATCCAAATGGATTTTCATACCTTTCATAAATAAACACAATGCGAGCCGAGCGGAGTCGAGCCGATTCATCGCTGTCGTCGTTGAACATCGCCCGGTGTTATTGAAGTTTATGCGACGAATGACTGTGAATTTCAAGCGATTTGAATGGACCAAAAAGACTGGAATATAAATGGAGATAATCGCTAACAACACAAACAGACCTGAAGACAAAAGCAGTGCAAACCAGTGCTTAGAGTTTATTTAAATTTCAAATTCAGCTCGAATTCATACAGTCCTCAAACATTCACCGTTTCGAATAAATAGCGTGGTCCTCTCTTCATGCTTCTCGTATCATCTCATTCTCGAGAACAGCCAATTTATCAGCACATTTTTGCACCAAACAAACATATTATATAATTCCGTTACTTACGCATTCGATGCGAATTCATATTCATTTTTTAATTAAACAATTCGTTGATAAAGACAATTTATTTCACTTTTATTTTGATTTTAACTTTGCTATTCGTGAAATTATATTTATTTAATTTAAAAGATGAGATAAAATTATCTTATTAAATCAAAATGAATATTTGATTTTGTTGAACAAAAGCTACAAACTCCATACGATCGTCCCTTATAATGCTTCCCATGACATCCATGTACGAATTTTGAAAAGAAGTAATAAATTGAAGTGTCTGTAATCTTCAGATTGTCAAGTCTTATCAATCAACGCACACGTGCATTCATTCATTTATGTGTATTCGGCAGGATGCAAGCCACATAGACACCGATATAATTACAATATTCGTAATATGAGATACTGAGTATTTGCGTACGGGCACATTGCCATTCACTGATTAGTTTTGAACTCTTGTGTAAAAATGACAAAAAGAGTCATATAAAATTTTATTTTCATTATTTAAATTTGATTTGAACTATTAAAGAGATAATGAAATACATAAGAATCCAATTGATGATTGTTTAATATGTTAAAAAATATGTTTAAAATCTAATTCTGTGGCATTGTTTTAAATTCTGAGCTTTTGATATCAAAGTTCTTGATAAACCATTGAAAAATAGAAGTTCAAATCAATATTGTGAAAAAGTTGTAGATCGTTGTACGAAGAGATGATATGGAGTTAACAATATCTGAAATCAATTTTAAATTAAATGTTCCAAATATCAGCAAATTGAAATCAAAATATTCACCGGAAGTAATGGTATACGATATCCCATGGAAAGTTTCAATATGGAAGAAACAGAAATATAACGTGGAATGGATTGGTGTTTACCTGCATTGTGCCAAAAAGGATTTAACTCCGAATTGTTCTTATGCAGCATCTGCTTCAATCAATCTGAAACCGTTTGATGAAAATTTGAATGAAATTGAACATATTATTTCTCCATATATTTTCACCCATGATTCTAATGGGTGGGGAATTCATACATGGATTCGATGGAATGATTTACTTCAAGTAAATTACTTGACGTCAACAAAAAGTACGTGAAAAACGATGCAATTCAATTGGAAATCACAATTAAAATGGCAAATCCAAATGATGAGGACAAAAGTGACGTGGTTTTTGAAAATGTATACAACAGCTGTGAGGTGGGATGCTTGGCTATGTATCGACTTACCGTTACTAGTATCGACGATTTGTTGGCTGTTCGATCACCAACATTTATGCTACGAAATGTATCATGCTTTTTGTTAGTCTATAAGCATTCCGCACAGCTCAGTGTTAAATTGCATTTGAAGGGTGAAATACGATACAAGAAGAAGATAACAGTTACACTGGTCTCAGCACAAAGCACAAAGTCAATTCAAAAAAATATCACCCACAATCTTGACCTACCAATAATGCACACTTCATGAAAAATTTGCTCAAGCCCGAGAATGAATTCATCAAAAGCAAATCGATCACCATTGAAGTTGATACCACATCCGAAGGGTTCAATCCAGATGAAAAAAATTCCCAAACAAAAGATGCTAAAGCTGAAGGGAAGGCTATGAACTGTGCAATCTGTTTGGATAAATTTGACAAACAGGAAGTTTCTGCTGTTCGATGCGGCCATTCGTTTTGTACGAAATGTATAGAAAATTCTATAAGGGAGCGCAGTGTCTGTCCATTGTGTAACAGCCCAGCATGTTTGATTGATTTACGCCGTGTATTCTTGACATTGTAAGTTTTTTCGTTTATTTTTGCTCAATATCAAATATTATTACAATTTTTTTTTTTCATTTTTCAATGCAGTATGGACTAAGAAGAACAAAAGCCAAGAGTCGATGCAATATTGTATGAAAATCAGTTGCCTGTTATGAAGAAATAAAATGTTCGTAGCTGTCATCAAATTCTACCTAACTAATTACATTGAAAGAAGAACACTTTGTAAAATAGAACCAATACAATTTTTCTACAATTGTGAAATACAAAAAAACGGCTTTCAAATACACATTTCATATTAAATTATCTTGTTCAAATAATACTCTTGGGGTAAAAAGTAAATCTGCTCTTCAAATCCTTCGTCTTTCAAATAGGTTTGCATATCGAAACCAAGCATAATGTTTTCCGCAGTTGGACGACCCTCTGGTTCATGCGCAAGCGCTTCTTTAATCATCTGAAGAAAGAAAAATTGAAATTATTATTTTAACTGTCTTTTAATTAATTCAAAATTAATCGTACTTGAGCCAGATTATCTTTCGATCCATCCATAAAATTTGGATATATTTTATCCCTTGCGTCCTTTAGAACTTTATCGCGTTCCATACCGGTTGCAAATTGTGGGTGGCGCATTTCGAAGAAAATCATCCCAAGTGAGTAGATATCCGCTTCTTTGCCATAGGTCGAATTTTTAGCTATTTCACTTAGTTCAGGGGCAACATAATACGATGTACCAACATATCCGGTTTGTGAGCTCCGTGTTTTATCAGTCGATGAAATGGCTCTTTGCTGTTGTTTCAAAACCGAATCCATCGTAGTAGCTAGGCCAAAATCTCCAATTTTGACACGACCATGAGAATCTAATAAAACATTCTCCGGCTTCAAGTCGCGATGGATAATTTGCTTTTGATGGAGATGTGCCAAGCCACAAGCTATATCCTGATACCAAAGAAGATTTATTTGAATGTTTTGATTCTTGCATTCTTCCATTGCCGTTCGAAGATCCATTGAACATAATTCCATCTGGATGATAATCATATCCAAGAACTTCGGACTTGTCACCTTGGCTTCACTGTGAAATTAAAATTTTATTGTGAAAATTGCTCATCTTCCATTTTATAAAATCACATTGAAAAAATTTGTTTGCTGAAATTAACATTTCAATACTTACTCATCCGAAGAAGATGAATCCGATTCCTCTTGATTCAGTCCCAATTCCGTTACGTTGACGCTTTGTTCCCAGCTGGTGATATATTTCACTACATTTTCATGGTCGATTTGTGAGATTAGCTCCACTTCACGTTTCACTCTTCCATATTGCCCTTTACTTCCACTCGGCAGTTCGATTAACTTCAATGCAAACGATTCGCGGCCATTTGGAGGCTTTGCTTTGATAACACTTCCATATGATCCACTACCCAGTGTTTCCTCGATTTCGAAATGATTGAGAAAGGGACCGTTGTAAATTGTATTTGACTCTCCGATATGAGCATTTGACAAAAACTCATGGCTTAAAAGGTCCCAGCATGTTGACTGTGTTAAATGGCATTGTTCAACGAAGTCATTTGCAAAATATTGAACGATTTTATTTTTCGACGCTACCAACGATCCCAATGCTTGGAAGTCAGTTGTCACGGGCATCGAATATGTGTCTTGTAAGTACATAAGATACGGCACCAAGTGATAATCTGCCACACGATAGACGGCTGACTTGCCCAGAAATATAGACGCATCGTTTATGTAGCCGTGTGTTATCTTCGGATCCATGCTATGCAAATATGAAATGGCTTTCAATAGCCGTTCGGCGATTGGAGCAAGACTGGGCAAAATGCCTTGTTCGTACAAATCTTTCACGCTGACTCCTTCAATGTACTCTTGCACCAAGTGCACAATCAAATTTCCATCCAATATTTCGCAGTTTACATCCAAATATCGCACCAGATAAGAATGCTTAACATTTTTGATGATGTATTCGGCTCTGCTTTCGAATACTTCCACGATATCGTCATCATGTTGATGGCAATCATTTTCTCTGGATATTTGCTTGCAAGTAATCAGACACTTTCCGTCAATCGACTCAAGATCAATTTCCCAAGTTGTTATAAAAACATCTATTCCCTCGTCGGATTGAGCCTTGAATGATGCACAACCTTTTTGTGATACTCCTGGTGGATGGATAAGTTTAATTTTAATATCGATTATTTCAATGAAATCGTAATCAAACTGAAATTTATAGTCAATTCGTGTAACAACATGAAATGTATTTTTAGAATATGTACAGAAAAAGATTCCCGAAGAGACAATTTACCCAACGGTTGTACTTGATGGTATTTGTTTCCATTTCCAAAATAAATCGTCCGCCGATTGAACATTTTTTATGATTATTTTGTTGTAGAGAGTCGAGTTGTCAGAAATTTTTCTACTGATGTTTCACAATGCAATGCAATGAAATACAATGCAAATTAATGCAAATTCAATGATTTTTTATCAACACTATACGTCCTCTGAGATAAAAAAAATCTCAGATTTGTCAAGTGTTCTTGATCATTTATCCATTTGAAATTTAAACTTTATTTTTGTGATTTCCACACACTCGTTTATCTGATTTAAATGAATTATCTTATACTTTTCTATGTTACACCCAACATCTATGTGCATTGCGCATGCAATAAACAAGATTTTACATGCAAGTGCTTGTTTTTGTTTTAATGACACAAACAGTTTACTGATATACGTTTGAAGACCGGTTCGTTAGATTTTCTTTTGGTTATATTGGTAATAGCGTTGTATACAACTGCTGAATATAGAGTGATCAACAGTTTGCCGACGATAGATGGCAGCATTGTCGATAGATTTTGAACGATCAGCGGTTTTTTCAGTTTTTAAATATCAAATCGATATCATGAATGTTCATTTAATTTCATAAATGAAATATTTATTCATAGGTTGGGCTAGTGTGACTGAAAATATATACTGAAATTTAAGAGAAACAATGGACACTTCAAAAAGTTCAAAGGCTTCGTTTAATAAAAGTTCTGCAATTTGTTTACTTGAAGTTTATTTGTTTATTTACTTTCTTATCGTTTCACCCTCTTTCTACTTATCTCTGTGTTAATTTTGGCGATGATTTATAATTGAATATTGTAATCTATTAAAATGTCAATCAGTGATGATCATCACGTACAAAAGGGTACTTCAATTTGTATATGTAGCCACAACAAACTGTTTGAATAGATAAGTCTCCTTATCAATGAGAGAAATTTACTGAATGGTCAAAATGTTACGTTTAAATTCATAAGAAATATTGATTGTCGGCCAGTTATCAGTGAGCTCTTGCATTGATATTTTTGAGTTGACCTAAGTCCAGCTTCTTCATTAAATAAAAGATGGCATTGAAGATATCTCAAATAACTTTTGAACTGAAAATTCCAAACATAAATAAGCTAGAAAACTTTTGTTCACCTGAGGTCATTATTCAAAGTGTCCCATGGAAAATTCTCGTCGGCAAAGAGCTGCATGGAACAAAACAGTGGCTTGCCATATATTTGCATTGCATAAAGGAAGATTTATCCCCAGATTGGTCTTACGCAGCAATTAGTTCATTTAAATTGAAACCATTTGGCGGAGATCAACGATCGGTTGAGTGTCACGTTCAGCCATTTATTTTTGATCGAATGGACCTTGGCTTTGGCACAGGCACATTTGTAGAGTGGAATGACGTATTTGACCCGAAAAAGAACTTTGTGAAAAACAACATGATCAAAATGGATATTACGATCGAAGTGGCTGATCCAAGTGATGTGAATAAAAGTGAACTGATATTTGAACATGCCCAAAATAATTTTTACTTCAGTAAATTCCGATTAAATGTTACCAATATCCAAAATTTGATGGCAGTCCGATCGCCGAGTTTTACATTGCAAAAAGTACCTTGGTATCTCACAGTTTGCAAGGATCATTCATCTAATCTTGTTGTTCGTTTGCATTCAAACAGTGAAATATCATGGAAGAAAAGAATGGTTGTTAGACTTGTGTCGACTCAAAAGTGTAGAAGGTCAATTCAACAAGTTAAGAGTGTAAATGTTCCACCTGGAGGCATTTTATCGACGACAAAATTTGTCTCATTGAATAAGTTACTAACGGCACAAAACGGATTTGTCAATAATAATTCAATCTTGATCGAAGTTGAAATCATTTCAGAGGTGTTCAGTTCAAATGATAGATCCTTGGACATAAGAACAGTTGAGTCTGTAAAAGGTGATGACCACGTTTGGATGGAATGTGCCATTTGCTTGGAACGAATGGATAATCAAGAAGTGTCGTCTCTTTTATGCGGCCATTTGTTTTGTTCAAAGTGTATTAAATACTCACTTGAAGAGTGCAAAGTCTGTCCATTGTGCAAAGCTCCAGTCAACTTGTATGAGTTGCGTCGTGTTTATCTACCATTGTGAGTTTTTGTGAAATGTGAGATGTTTTTTTTATTTTAATCTTGATTTCAGTATTTCTTTAACAGTGTGAATGAATGAAAGCAGCAGTTTATAAAATTGGTACACATTCTAATGCTTAAGCTTTAATTGCACTCATCTATGTTGATTGCAAATGAACTAAGAAGAAAAAAATATTAATGAATAACATAAGCTTCCTCCATAAAAGAAATACAATAATATATAGTATACTGTATAGTAACTTTTCTGTATTACATTTTCGCTGATTCCAAAATACTTCTATCGTATATAAATTGAGGTGAGTATTTTTGACAGGTAAACAGATAAGCTCGTATCAATTTTGATTGAGTGGCAACAATTTTTGACATTTTTTTCGAATCAGTCACACTTGATCTTCGGCTGGAAAACGTTTGATTATAAATCTAAAAATAACGACACAAAACTACAAAGCCGATTTTGAATAGTTCTGGAATATTCATTGACAAATAGTAAACACGCATTTGATTAGTCCAAAAAATGTGCTGAAAGACATCATTATCATCAATACTTTACTGAACTTTAACTATACCACCAGACAAAATTTGTATGAAAAAAAAAATTTTTGTTCAAGATATCTTATTTTTGCATTATTCTTAAGAGAGAAAAAACATCCATTGTACCAAAAATCTCAACTTTTCTTCCCTGTGTGTATAGGTACTTGAACTAGTTCTTTTTATAGGAACTTGAAGTTTGCTAGACTTTTCCTAAGAGAAGAATTACCCGTTTATTTCTTTGTACAACTATAAAACCTACAGATTAACACTTTCTTATCTATTGATTTGATTATTTATTTGATTCGGCGATGGAATCTTGATTAATTTAACGATAGAAAAATAAACATCTAAAAAATCATTTATACGTGTCTTGATAGCAACGAACAACAGAAATTATTTGATGGGTTGTCTTATCATCGCTGCCAAAATTGATTTAATAATTCTGCTAGTCTTCAGAAAACAACGAAATAATGTATTTTTTCCACGTACAAAAGACTTCGCTCGCATTCTTTTTGGTGATGATATAGTGCCAAAACAGTGTGAAGAATGGAAAAAATCACTGAAACTGTATATTTTAAAGACTTGAAATCATTTCGTTGGAAGTTATTCCATTACAGAGACGATAAAGTGTCTCATTCGATATTATTTCAAAAAGCATTATTTCCATTATTTCGTGTAGGAAATTGTAATCGCTGACTATGAACTACAAAATTTGAGTTTTTCTTTTTAACTTCTGATCGTAGAGTTGACTTTAATTTTTCTTCCAGTTGGATGGTGAAATACAAACAGAAGTATATCTTCATATGCCGCATTTATCGCCCGAGGAATTTCCATCTATTCGCGAAAAAGACGACCGATTTTGGGACCTCAGTCGCTTCTTTATTTGTTTAATTTACGGAAATGAGGCGTGTTTTCTTGCAGGCATGAAATTGATAGTTGAAAAGCCAAATGATCTATGTATGCTGTTCGCATCTACAGAATTTCTCTTGTGGCAACTTGAACAATGGATAGGTCCTTCAGTGTCTCAAACTTTTCACTTGGCACTTGAGAAGCTAATGTCATCAGGAGTTTTACACCCATCGTAGACTGATATAATTGAAAATTACCGAAAATATTTCCAACAATTTCAGGGAAGAAAATATGAAAATATCGTAGCTTTGATCAACACTATTTTACCTGAAGCGAAATTCCGCCATCAAAAGTCGATGGAGTATTTTGATCATGAACAATGCTTGGACATTTTAATCGACTGGAATATCAATGTAAAATCTCAACTTCACCATACGGTTTTATACCACGCTGTTTAAAGCAATAATCTCAACGCAGTTCGTAAATTACTAAACAACGGCTCATTTCTCGGTACGGCCACCAATTTGTATGATCCAAGTGTGTGTCGTATCGATTCAAAGGCACTGAACGATTATTTTGATAGCTGCAACACAAAGTGTGAGGAAGACGATCGTTTCATTGAAATTGATTTGAAAAATTTGATAGCGAAGCTGAAAGATTGCAAAAGCTTTGACGGCTCGTGTGCTGATGAAATGAAGGCCATCGAAGGTATGACTACAAGCACCTACTGATTCATCCTTTGATTGCGACTTTTGTACTTTTGAAACGGAATCGACTGGCATTTGTGTTGTAGAATGACTTCGTGATGTATTCTCTATTTGCTTTATCTGCATTTGGATACATTTTGGCGGATTTTAACGAGGTGAATTTTGTCAAGAACATATTGAACATTTCAACGATTGTGCTTACCGTGTACTTCATCGTGCGAAGAGCATTACATAAAATTGTTGGAAGTTCAATTTCACATTGCTAAGTACTCTTCAATGTGTTCACACCGGTACTGGTGTCATTATTTCTACTTGAGGTTTTGGAATGTTATCGATCAATATTCGCATCATTGTGCATTTTATTAATAGCAATTGAGCTCTTCATCGTGGCTGGGTCATTATTTTGGTCATTCTCCAAGTATTATGTCATGTTTTTAGACGTCACCTGGAGTTCGATAAAGAGTTTGCAGCTGTGTATCATTCTTATGCCGGCATTTTTGTTGGTGTTCTATCTGTTATTGCGAGACCATGGAATTAGTTCGAATATTAGACAAGAAAATGGTCAAACAAGTGATGAATTATACGATTCAACCTATCCGTTTGGAGAATTTAGTTCGTCGATTATAAAAGTGTTTACAATGAGTGTCGGTGAATTCGAGGGCATCGACAGTCACTATGACTCAAATATTCTGATTTCATGTTTGTTCGTTGGATTTCTGTTTTTGATAACGACGTGTTTTATGAATTTAATGAACGGCCTGGCTGTTAGTGACACCGAGAAGATCCAAGCGAATGCTGCAGCCATCAGCATCACACAAAGATTCTATGTTTTGGCTAACTATGAAGTGGTCAAATTGCATAACCACGATTGGTTTCGGTGAGTTTGATCTTTTGATTTCGACTCATTTTCATCGAATCATTGCAAAGTTTCTGACTTCAATGGTTAATATTATATAACTGTAACAATTCACATTTATTCGCCAATTGCTCCCAAATAAACATCCATTTCGATCGTTTGCAGGAAATCATTCAACGGCACTTGGGTCATGAGATTATATGAACATTTAACGAGTATCAATTCTCTCGAAACACTGCGTCATCCATTAAATACGAAAATCTACATTCGGCCAGATAACAAAATTTTGATTTTAAAGAAAGACTGGAGGACAGTTGAGCAAGATTCACCGGTCTTTGAACAAAATGGAACGTATTTGTACAGCTGGGTCAGCAATTTATCATTTTCGAAGAAATTTCTTCGTGTACACCCAAATATTATGCGGTCAATTAGAAAGAGATTGGAAATAACAGATACAAAACAGCAAGAAGACAATGAAAGTAATCAGCTTAAGGGTCGAATAATCCAAATGGAGTTAAAATTAGAGCAAATTATGCAAATCTTGGAGCAATATGATGAAACAACGACGAATAATTTTGAAATGATTATACAAAAATTCGAGAAAAATTAGATAAAAATGATGAAGAAATGAAAATAGAACTCGCTAAATTTCTCACGAACCAAATGGTGTAAAACAAAATGATTTTTTCAAAAATTCAATTGGTTTGAAATAAAACTCTCTTAATTTTGATCTTTTTAGTTTTATTTTATAATTTGTATAGTGCATGCGATATACATATAGACATTGAAACCAAAACAAGAAAATTTTCATTTTTTTTTATTTATCAAAATATATTTCATTCAAAACATGCGTCAATATGTGAAATGGTCCTCGAACATGTGTCTTAATACAAAGAAAATATTCACATCTACCCATTTGCGATTCGCGTCCAGTAATTCGTCTGGTACATCGATTATACCGCCTTTAATGTTAATTGTCACTTTGATACGACCTAGTTTAGCCAAATTCAAAATCGATTTATAGCCATCCAAATCTATTTCAAATTCATTCGTTTCAACTGTAAGAGCTGATAATCGTTTGCCAAACTGCAAGGCTCCCTGTATCCCTTTCACAGTAATATTCCGAAAATTTGGCCTTGCACAGATGATTTCTTCCAATGCCGGTAAATGCCTAACATAATTGATGAGTGTTTCATCGGACATTTGTGTAAGACTGAGTTTTCTCAGTAGTTTCAATTGCAAGACATTCAATTTGGTTCTCGAGAGATATTTAAATTCATTGCAAATCGCCAAAACTTCTATTGCAACATTATTTTCAATCAGAGAATCAATCAATCGACCTACCGAAATTTCACTATATGTGAAAATAGCCAAAGTTTTCAATTTTCGCAAATTGCCTATTTGAACCAGGTGTTCATTTGAACATGAAACATTGCCAGTCAACCAGAAAGACAGTTTTTCGAGGTTTGGTGTAAAACTGACAATGTCTTCAAAAATATGTGTTGTTATTCCCTTGCAAAATTCTATATTCAGGCATTTCAACTGTGGATTTAGTTCTAAGAATTCGACGGCCTGCCCATATTGCAATTGGTGAAGGATATGGAATTCAACAATTTCCAGTTGCGGAAATGGTTGGATAAGCCAGTCGAAATCAGTTATATGTATTCCACTCACTAACAATTTTTTCAGTTGCGAATGATTTTCGAAATTGTGAACGTTCGTTTTAACTATTCTAAGTTCAGATAACGCTTGTAGTGATGATTGAGGGTCGAAATTTACAACCGATTCGAATGAATTGACTGTGATTTTCATCAGTGTTCTTCCGCAATGTTTTGCGATCATAGCTTGAATATTGTCATCAAGTTTTCCATGTTAATAAAGTTCCATGATCAAATGGCCGAAAATGCTGAGGAAATTGTGAGCTCGATCCACCGTCACGGTATGAGCATCAAATGATAAATCATCGTATAATTTACCAACTCGGATCTCTTTAAACTGTGTCCGAAAAGTGAGTTTGGCATTTTCCTGGAATCGAATGCATGTTTCAGCTACGCTCAAATGATCGCGTATGTTTTCCAATCGACGAAAAATCGACTGAATATAATCATCATTCAAAGCATTCAGAACATGCTTTGGCGAATCTTGTGCCGGTGGAATTGCAACATCCATTGTAATTTAAAGTACACTTTAGGCCCGATCTAAGTAAGTAAAGAACAGAACGATTAATTATTATATTATGTTGAAAAATTGATAAAAAGAAAATGTCTTATTAATTATTCTCACCAGAAGAGTTGAACTTTTTTTTATTCACAATGTCACTCCTATTTCAAATGTTGTTCGTTAGGTTGTTGAACAAACGTAGCAATTATACTTGTGGTTATATGAACACTATTGAAATGGTTGCTTCGCTAAAATTGACTTTTTCACTTTCGAAAGAGATTTGATTTATTCCAAATACAACGAGACTGTTTTGCTTCAAAGTTAGAAAGTCGAATGATGAGTTTCTCTGAATGTTCAGTTATATAAAGCGGTTTCAGTTATTGGCAATATATGTAAAGGCCAAATGGTTGTAACTAATTCCATAAAAGGACTACATCACACATCACAGGTCATCTTTAATCTTCATTGATTCCCATTCCTTTTTGGAATTGGATCACGGTGGGTTCGGGATTAAAACCAATTTCAATCTTCCATCAGGCAATGATTGTATATATTAGCACGAGGCGTAATTCTTAGCTGGAAAGTGATTAGCAATTCGAAAGAAGTTTTAGTTGAACACACCTCAGAATTGTGAAAACCAAATGTTGTGAAAATGTCTTTTAGATCTAACTACCATAATCTCGTTCTAAGAATTGATATCTTCTTCTGGAAACTAAGTATTGAGATACTTTTTGTATCGTTTTATGTCTATAAGTGAATTTGCTAATTAATTGGATGTCTCTGTTGAGGCTATTGGTTTTTAAGAATTTTTGTCACTGTTTCGGGACTTGGATCAGAAACTTTGTCTCTATTTATATTTGATTCAAGATTGTTGTGTGTACAACTTCTACGTCTATCGACTTAAAAAAATCAAAATTCAATGTTCAAATCTACTTCTTGCACCCATTATGAGAATAATTCGAACCATTCTTTGTATTAAACAAAATCGTTTCAATTTTCTCCTGTTGTATTTATTGATCAAAGAACACAGGAAGGATCACATAAATTGCAGAATTGATAGGCTGGAGACTGATTGAAGAAAGTGGTTCAAATGATGGAGGAAAATGGAAAGCAAATAGGAACAATTATTTTGAAATGATGTTGGGCTTATTAAGCTATTTGCGAAATGAAATGACCGCTGATGAAAAAGCATCCATCAGTCAGCCGGTGCCGAGTCTAACACAGCTGATAGTGATGCGCCGGAGAGCTTCAAAATGTTCAAAACAGAATAAAAGAAATACTCAAATGAGTAAATAAATACAACTTATGAAGTAATAAAGGTAAAAGAGGTCAGCTGAAAAAGCAAACCAAAGAATCTACCTAAAAAGGAACCATATCTATAAGACACGTTGGTGTATGCATTGCACTCTGTTGTTTTCTCCTTTCGATCGGTATAGTGACCTTGAAATTGAGTGTACAACTTGTGATATGACACCACCATCCGCTAAGAAAAATTCCAGTTTTTATTTTTAGCCATTTGTCATATATTTTGTAGCCGAATTTTGAGAACATTCGGTTTTTTTTTCGTTGATTTCACCGATATTTGGATGACTGTTTCAATTGAGGTAAACATATTAGCTTACCATTCGTGCATTGAATGTGCATGCGTTCGACCGGTTTCACCTGATACTCGTCTAGAATTCAATGATCGCTACTAACACAGAATTCTCTGAATGAGAATAAAAACAACAATATCAGTGCGACCGACGAGATTGGGGAAAGAGACAACTATTTGCGTTCAGGCATACGGGCACACACAAATAAAGTCAACCCGCTTTTGTGTTGGTGAATGGACTTTTACGCAGAATGATGAAATAATATTCAATGTTTAGTGTAGTGGCGACGTTAAAAGTGAACGTAGCGCAAGGAATACACGGCGGAAGCATTTTACTGTAATCTTTATTTACAAGTGTGGATTTTATAATATTCGTAAGTTTGTGTGCAATCCATTGAGATTTTCAAAAACGTTCGTTCGTTCTTCATTTCTGAATGAATTTTTTTAAAAAAATATTGTGATTCAACGCAGCTGAGATATCATAATTAAGTTTAATCGCATTGTGAAATGGATCAAGTTACAGACACCGAATTTTTAGAAGATTTAAAGTTTTTTCGTTGGATATTATATCACCATGGAGAGTCGGAAAAAACAACTATTAATTCTAGCAATAATGATACTGATAACGAAAGTGAGAACGGAAGTGAAGCGGAAAACATGAGTGCGATATCAATTGAAAGCGAAGATACAACTGAAAGAGAAGAAATAATTGGAAGTCTTATGAGATATCATTGTGAACACGGCCATGGTGAAATTATTGCTGAAGAGCTTATAATCGCAAAAAATGGTTTGGAAAAGGTAATTTGATGACTTTGTGAACAAAATTTAGACAAATAAACATGATTTCAACAATCATAATTCAATTCATACCGTATGCTAAAATGTTGTTTTTTCTTTCTCAGAATCTGCATGAAATATTGCGATCGATTGCTCCGCATATCGATGAATCTCATGACCTGCCTTCGATTCGCGATAAAAACGATGCACTTTGGGATTTTAACCGATTATTCATTTGTTTGGTTTATGAAAATAAGCCACTGTTCGTAAAGGGTTTGGAATTGGTTGCTGAGAAGCGGCCTGCTGATCTGTGTACGTTGCTCGTTTCGATGGAGTTTTTGTTGATTCAACTCTCGTCCAAGATAAATACCGATTCGGCTTGTGAAATTTTGGCGTCAGCAAAAGAAAAACTATCATCTTTAGACAATGACACGATTAAAAGTGCAATTAAAGAGTATGACGACTATCTGCCGGAACTGAAAAGGACAAAACCAGAGAAGAATGGGTTTTGTGCAGTGGATTTGATTGAATCGGCCAAACAAAAATTGTGTTGTCATGGAATGCGTAATTCAAACATAAAAAAGAACATCGATCATAAACAGTGCCTGGATGTGTTAATTGACTGGAACGAAAAAGAGCTGTTCGAGTGTGATAAACACTCCCACACTGCCTTATACTATGCTATTCAGTATAAAAATAACGAAGCAATCAAAAAACTATTGGATAAAGGAGTATACATCGGAATGGATGGCAAAAGCGCTCAAAGAAAGTATGAAACTTCATTTAATATGCAACGTTTACATCCAAAAGTGCTTGAAGAGCATTTTGATAGTTGCATTTCTCTTCAAGAAGATCACATTGAAATTGATTTCAAGAATTTAATAGCTCCATCCTCAGAAGAGCCTCATGCCATGAATTTCATCGAGTTTATGTCCGATTCGAGAGATTACAAACATTTAATCGTTCATCCTTTAATTTCGTCCTATGTGATGTTAAAGTGGAATCGATTGGCGTGTTTTATTTATACGGATTTTATGCAACATTTGATACTCATGATGACAACTATAATATACGTGTTGAAGGGTGATAAAATCATTTTTTCGTTCTTTAAACTAAACTGGTTAAAGTATTATATTTGGATATTACTGATGTATTTGGCCGGGCGAAGAATAGGTCAACAAATGTTTTGGCCTGGAAAGAAAACCCGATACAATTTGTTACAATGTATGCGCACTTTATTCACAGTCATTTCTCTGTCACTCGTTTTATTAGACTTTTCGGAAACGAATCGCGAAATATTCGGCACATTTGCTATTCTATCGACATCAATTGAGGCTTTCATTTCGGCTGGATCATTGTTTTGGTCTTTTTCGAAATATTATGTTATGTTTTTGGATGTTGCATGGAACTCGATGAAAAGTCTTCAACTTTGCGCTATACTTTTGCCAGCGATATCTGCATCATTTTATTTAATGTTTCGAGATCAATATTCAACGGAATCTAGTGTAGTAGCTGAAAATGGAGGCCCATACGATATTATGAATAAAACAAATGGTGAAACCGGTAGCTCTTTCAGTCAATTTGGTCCTTCGCTTCTAAAGACCATCGTAATGTCGACCGGTGAATTTGATGCAAGCAGCAGTGACTACGATCTGAATGTGATGACTCTGGGCTTATTTTTATGCTTCGTCTTTCTCATTTCGACTGTCTTTATGAATCTAATGAATGGTTTGGCCGTTGGTGATACACAAAAAATCCAGTCAAACGCCGAAGTGGTGTGCATGCAACAACGGTGCCGTATTCTAGCTAGATTCGAGGATATATTCACAAATCAAAAGAATTGGTTCAGGTAACTTATCGAAGATTTCTTATTCACCTCTTATTTGATCAAAAACCATTCCCTTATTTTTATTTTCTGTTTGAATTGTAGCAACAAACTTCCGCATGTGAATGAAACCCTCGAAAAATTCATATTAGAAAGTTCGATCAAAGAAAATCCAATTGCATTTTTGAAGCATCCTCTCAATACAAAAATTTACATTTCACCAAGTCGTCATGTTATAATTGCACCAAATCGTTACAAAGGCTATTCATATCGCTGTGGAAATTCATTCGAGGATGAGAACATGATCAAACTGTACAGCTGGATTAGTACACACGCTACTCCCGACGTGTGGTTTTTCTATAAATGCCTTCAAATGGATCGAAAAATTGTGCGCGACATTCGGGATATTTTGGACAAAAAACATGTGGTGCAAAATGGTGACAATGGAAAGGATCACTTGAAATGTCAGATTGCAAATTTGGAAAACGATGTGGAAAGAGTGGTTGAATTGATGAAAGAGAATGAAGAAAATACTAATAATCGATATGAAGAAATGCTGGACTTATTGAGAAAAATGCACGAAGAAAACAAGAAATATCATGAAGAAGTCGCACACTTGAAGTCACTCATTTCTTCATTGCAGGGCCCAAAGCCTGGCTCATCTAGCTCTAAGCCAAGTGGATCTGTAGACTTACATAATGATGGTGAAAAAGTTGAAAATACTGAATAATTTTATTTAAAGTCTGATATTTCTGAAGATTTTAGCTTTTCTCAAAAAGATATTGCATCAACTTGAAAAAGTATTCCAATAATATTGAACAATGCATTGTTAATACTCAAACGATAACGAATAAAAACACCTTTTTGTTGATAGAATAACATTGAATATAGGTAAAATGTTTTATTTAGGATATTATCTTTTCGTTACCTGGTTTTTCTAGACTGACATATAAATGCTCGAAAATTTCCAGTTTCGATGTTAGAATTACCCTTCTGTAGATACATTAAAATGCTATAAAGTGTAAAATATTCAGTACATTGCGCGTACTTATTTTACGGTTGGTGTTCATTCCACATAGAATGAAGCTAAACCAACTATATATAGATGTTAAAAATATAGAAAAAAATACCATCATAAACATTGACAACAAACAATATACAAATAACATAGATATGTATATATCGAAGTTGTCGTAATAAGTCTCTGCTAGCGGCAGTGCTATTAAAGACCACTTGTTCGTTGGTACCCAAGTGGTTACACTGTGGAGATGCCCTCACTTATACGGAGGAGCGCGGAGTTGTGCGGAGATATACTAAAACAGTGTATAAGAACCTGAACGCAGGCTTAAGTTTGTGTTGTATACTGTTCTTGTGTATCTCTGCATAACTCCGCACTTTCCCGTATAAGTGAGCGCATCTCCACAGTTGAACCACTTGGGTAAGTACATTGATATCATAAGGCAAATCACCATTTAAAAATACGTTTCAGTGATTATTCGGTCGTTAATATGTTTTCTTTTGCTTTTGGAGAACAAAATTATCAACAGTACGACGGCTTGAAAGTACCGGAAAAATGATTAAATCACAAATTTTTTAAGTAATTTTTAGATGCTCTTGAAATTTCAACATTTCCAAAATTAACTGACACAGTCACTGAAATTATTTTTTTACAGTTGTGATTTGCCCGGCATAATAATTGATAAACAAATTATATTCATTGATAAAAAAAATATAAAATTCGTTGGTTAAAGCCGATTTTTTTTTCGAATTTCGGCTTCATTTATACAAGGTACCATTGTTCTGAAGTGGCACTCAAACATTGATACGATTTTAAATCAATCGTCACCCAATACTTGAGCCCAGCAAAAGAACAATATCATCTTGTAAAAACCTTCATAAACATCATAAACATGATAAATTGATAACTATCATGATAGTTACGATAGAAGCACTCAAGCTTCAGTAAAACCACTATAAATTCAGTGAGCACATTTTCGTTCGAATTGTATCAAAATGTCTGCTTTTGCCAATAAAATTATAGAAAATATCACATTTTCTTTGAGAGTATCCTTACAAGTTCTATCTTATTCAATATTTTTTTGGTAAACAAAACCGTTTGAAAACTCCTAAAATTTTCTAATGGATATGTTTTTTCTACCGTCAAAAGATTCCATTTTAATGCAATTCGATCAAATGTTCTCACTGTGAAATGTGCAATCATGTCACATTTTGAATTATTAAACGTCCTTGTAATAAACGCCACCATATCATTTGCACCAGGTTCATCGTCGCTAAAATCACTTCAAGTACACAGAGAAAACTGAGTTGATTTTTACGTAGCAAAATGTTTGAAAGTGTCAATTCCAACAAATATTGAGTTTTTCGCAACAAATGTTTTTTTCCATATTGACTCAAGTATTTGTCAAATTAGACACCAGCATCCTTACATCGTGTTTAATGAAAATTGGCGCCTAATTTGAAAATTAGACACGATGAAAGGGAGCTGGTGTCTAATTTGACAAAAACTTGAGTCAATATGGAAAAAACATTTGTTGCGAAAAACTCAACATGTGTTGGAATTTGACACTTTCAAACATTTTGCTACGTAAAAATCAACTCAGTTTTCTCTGTGTATGTTGAAATGATTTTCAAACCATCATTTTCATTTCAAAATCGCTTATTTCCTGTTAGACCTTGCATTACGAAAGTTTTGCAAAAGTCTTATTGCAGTAGGACGCTTCATCGGAACATGGTTTAGCATTTGAGAAATTGCCTGAAAAAAAATGGAACAAACTTCAAAAAGAAATTTAACTTGACTGAAAAAACTGAATCGATTAGGTGTAACTTTTATTCTAAACGATTTAATTCATTACTGATCATTTGCTAAAAGCATTTTATAGATATATTGTGGCTTACTTGAGACTGCTTCATGAGTTTCCTGTCCAAAAAGAAATCAGGGAAGATTGGAGTTTTTTCGCGCATTTTCTTCAACACTTCGCTTCGTTCCATTTGTGTGCCAAATTTCGGATTGCACATTTCAAAGAAGATTATTCCAAACGAATAAATATCGGCCTTGGGTCCATATACCGATTTCCATGCACTATTCGACAGTTCTGGTGCTGGGTAAAATGTAGTTCCAACAGCACCAGTTTGTGAGCTGCGCGTTTCAGCGCTGCTATTAACCCAATAGGCACCTGGTTGCTGTTGTAGAGCCAAGGCTGTGGTTGTGGCCGAACCAAAGTCAGTAATTTTTACTTGTAACTTCGAATCCAACAAAATGTTCTCGGGCTTTAAGTCCCGGTGGATGATTCCATTTTTATGCAAATGGTGCAAACCCAGGCATATTTGTGAGAAAATTTTCCAGACGCGTCTCGTATTTTTGTAGACATTTCGGTCGATCAAGTGTCTGCGCAGAGAAAAGGATGTTTTAATTAAATAAAAAATAGAGTCCAATCTGAAAATAATGTCCGTACCTGAGATTCATGGCACATAATTCCATTTGGATGACCATCGTTTCGCGAATCTTTGGGCCCTGGAAAGAGCTGTTACTTCCCCTGTGAAAAAAATACGTACACTAATTTATTTAAGAGAATGGAAACATAACGACATTTACTTGGAGGCTGAAGTCGAAGACTCCCATGTTTCCATCAGCTCCTCATCATCATCGAAATATTCATCCATCATTGTCCAATTCACTTGTTGCTTCCAGCTGGTAATATAGCGCACAATGTTGCGATGATTAATGCGAGAAATGATTTCGGCCTCTCGCTCCATTTGCTCCAGCTCTTTTTTGTCGTTGTGTGGCACTTTAATGAATTTAATCGCGTATGAACGCTTATCAGTGTTATGCCTGGCTTGTAGAACCATACCGAAGCTTCCACCTCCTAACCATTTTTCAATCTCAAAATGTTCCAAAAGGCCATTGCCATAAATCGTTCGGTTATTTTTGACCCAATCATTGGACAAAAAAGGATGTTCCAATAGTTGTGAATGGGAAAGTACACGTCCCGAGCGGCACTGATCGATAAAGTCATTCGTCGATCTTAAAATGTTATCGCGCAGAGATTCAACGATCAGCCCTATGGCTTTAAAATCATCAACTTCGTGAATGTTATGATTACCATTCAAATACATTAAATACGGAATCAAGTCATAGTCTGCCACACGAATAGCACCAGCTTTATCCAAAAAGATTGACTCAGTTTGCAAATAATCGTGTGTTACCTCTGGATTCATGCTATGGAGGAATTTCAGTGCTTCAGTTACTTCCTTAGCAATCGAAGCCACATTGGGTAGCTTATTTTTTTCGCATAATTTCTCAATACTTTCGCCATCGATGTATTCTTGCAACAAGCACACTGTAAATTCGTCATAGCGAATGCCACAATTACAAGCAAGGTAACGCACTAAATTGCGATGATTTGCCTTTGCAATGATGCAGTTTGCTCTCTTTGAAAATTCTTCAAGTATTAAGTGGGCGGTGCCATCTTCATCATGTAAATGCACGTCGCATTCATCAGGCCGGGCCACTTTTTTGCATGACATGGGGCACTTTTTACGAATTTGATCGATATCAAATTTCCAAACACTCAGAATAGCCTCCATGCCACCGCCGATATTTTTAGCCTTAAACGTATAACAACCTTTATCTGACTTTCCTGTAAATTCATACGCATAAAGTTAATTTTTGTATTTATTTATGTATTTAAAATGTAATCGACATACCCAAAGGTAACATCTGATAAAGAGAGCCAGCACAAAAACATAGATATTCTTCCGATGCCATTTTCCAACATAAATGAAAAGATTTAAGAAAATCTTATTAGAAATATAGGCAAATGCGCAGTAAAAATCACTTTTTCACAGCGGTTTCTTCTTCTTTTTCTCTCTTTGTCAATCCAGTTTGACTGCGATCTTTGACATTTCTTGCACCGATCGTTCTAGAGATTTTCTTATTGCACACACTAAAGGGTATATCAATATAGCACATCAATTGCAATGTTTGTTTATGTTTTTTGCAAATGTATGCGGTGCCGACTGCCGATGCACACAGTATATTTTCTTGTGTCAACAAGAATATTTTTGTTCTGTCAAACGATGAATTTCGTATACATATGCTGGATATAAGAAAGTTGTGTCCGCCGCTCAAGAGATGGCGGTTCTGTACAACTGAATTTATTTTGATCGTATTCGAAATTTGATCGTTGTTTTTTTTTTAGCTAAAATTGCTTAATGTAAAACAAACACGTAGTTTTTCATGCATAGAATGTAGAAAAACTAGGCAAATGAAATTTCACGTAAAAATGTCACTTTTCTGGTAATTGATTCAAGGATCCCAATTTGTGACAAACCAATTCATTTGAATTGCCGCCAAAAACCAATCGGATAGAAATCTCATTCATTCAACAGGTGGCAGCTACATAAGCCAGTCGGAATATACAAATGAATCAGTGGATTTTTTTCAATTATTTTAACGACATCGCTTTAGAATGCAACCAAAAAAAAACATGACATGTTAACAATTTGTCCATGCAATAAACTTGAATGAACATTGACAGATATTTCATGGCGTAATGTTTATTTATCATATCAGAGACTTCCTTTTGGGAGTTTTTTTTTCACTTGATAAGATACAACTGTATATTCTCAGTGTTCTATCTGTCAAAATGTGTGACAAGTAACTTTGGCGGCGAAGCTCATTTTGTTCTTGTTTACTTAGCAGTATTGGTTGTTCATTTGAAAAAATACACTCTTCTGAAAGAATAATATTAGTTTTGACTCTGAATTGAGCTGATCAATTGATCCGTCGCGCGAAAAAAACCAAAAATAATAAGAGTTCATCGTTTTGAACACATTGAATATAAAGTGAAGTAAATCGAGTGAGAAAAACAAATAAATTTCAAATAGTATCGATTTCAAAGGAATCATGGCAGAGGCAAACGTGATAGCCACCATTCCCCGAAAAAATTTCTTTCTCAAAATTGCAAACATCAGCAAATTGGAAACTATTTGGTCACCTGAAGAAATGGTCCATGGTATTCCATGGAAAATCAAAGTAACAAAAACTACCAGTGAGGAGGAACAACGGTTGGGAGTTTACTTATGTTGCGCAATCACGGATAAATCACCAGATTGGTCTCATGTAGCAGCCGCTACATTCAAACTGCAACCTTTAAGCGGCAACAAAAGTGGAATTACGCGTGGTATAGAGCCTTATGTTTTTGATAGTTCTGGCATTGGATATGGCAATGCATCATTCATCAAATGGAGCGAACTGTTGAATGCTGAAAACAATTATGTGAAAGATGATACACTCACATTGGACATCACCATCGAAGCGGCCAATCCAAAAAATCCAAGCAAATTATTGTTTGCAACAATCGAAAAGAGTTGCGTCGAAAGCTGTTCAAGTAAATACCGATTGAATGTAACCAACATTGACAATTTGATGGCTGTCAAATCATCACAGTTCAAAGTGCGGAATTTGCCTTGGTTGTTCATGGTTTACAAGGACCTATCCCATCTTCGTGTTAGTTTGCACTGTAGAAGCCCTTCAACAGAAATTTCCTGCAAACTGGAAGTACTGCTGAAACTCATCTCATCAAAGAAAGATGTAAAACCAATTGAACCAGCCCCTCAGACAGCAGTTCTTAAAAACTATGGTGTTCTAACAGTAGGAAAAATCATTTCATGGGATGAGCTTGTGAAGCCAGAAAATGGATTTGTCAACGATAATTCCATCGTTATGGAAGTGGAAGTCAGAGCAAGCAAATCAGAAGTGCCATTACTAACAACGAACCGAAACAACTGAAGCTCGAATGTGCGATCTGCTTCGAAGTTTTCAGCAAACAAGAAGTCTCCAGTACTCAATGCGGTCACTTGTTCTGTTCACCTTGCATCAGAAATTCCGTTGAAGCTCGTGAAAAGTGTCCGTCATGCAATGCCGATGTCACTTTGGAATCATTGCATCGCGTTTATCTACCGATGTAAGTTCAATTTAGAATTTTCCTCTAGGAAAAAATTGACTTTCAGAACATGAACTAATTCAATTTGATTTCATTTGATTCCACAGTGCACACTAAATGCGAAGGCTTGGAAATCAGGATGCCGACGTAAGGACCTCTGAGGTGCAAACAACACAAACTCCCAGCCTTCAACCTAATTCAGATTGATTGTTCTACATATGTTTTTCGCATGTTCGTTCTGCACGAAACATTTATTCCAAACTTAGGCAAACAAACTCCGATTTCAACATTCAAATAATCTATTATACAAAAAAAAAACATTGAAAAACATTAGACCGGAGAATCCCTTCTCCATATTTCGATTTACAGCACTAGACTAAGTTTCCGTTGACTGTCATGATCAGGAAAAAAAATCCGTTCGGTCCGAACTGCAACCTTACAACGGCTAAACCATGAAAATGTCCAAAGCGATCATAATTAGCATTTTGTGAGGCTACAAAGCACTCTTTGTGATTATTTTACAATAAGAAAAAACACAATCGTTCACTCAGTTACTCGTTCATAAGAACTCATGAAAATAAGAGCCGTTGCAAATTCAAGCTACAGTCAATAGTCGTATTAAGCCGAAAGAATCTTCCACAACGTATTTTATTTTGAAATAAAACAAACATTTTTGTACTCATTTCCCACGAATTAACAGTAAATAAAATTTAAGCGTAAGCCAAACATTTGGTTAATTGTTTTTCTTGTCGAAATAATGATTTCAATTGTTGCGATTGATATGCAAAAAGATTTTTTCCTGGGTAAATGTGTCGAAATTCAGCGGAATTTTCGATATGCATTTGCTAAACTTTCGTATTGTCATAGAACCATTCTTAAAATACAAAATTTTCCTTCAACAAATCCAATCAATTTGAATGTTGTTCAAAGCGCGAATCATAACCACACAATGAGGATCTGTCAATAAGTTTGACAGCTGGTTTGCCGGGCACATTCATATAGCTTGTACGCACAGCATTATTCAGTCACAAGTACACACTCTGACATTGTGTTGAAGCAAATATAACAGCAAGTGGTTTAGTGCGCGAAACAGTCTGAAAGATTCGAAAATCCGACGATATTCACCGTAATCAATTTGTTCAAGCAGATCTGCAATCAATAAAAAACGACGAATATCACATTGCGACACTATGAAAGAGGCAAATACGATTGGTGTGATTCCCACAGTGAATTTTAGCTTCAAAGTTTCAAACATCAGCAAACTCGACGAAATTTATTCGCCAGAATATTTGGTTCAAGGTATTCCGTGGCAGGTTCAAGTTTGCAAAACGGCCAGAGATGGAAAAGATAGTCTGGGCATTTATTTACATTGTGCTAAAGAAGAATATGAGGAAAATTGGTCGCATGCTGCATTCGCTAAATTCAAGCTGTTGTCATTTAACAACAACACAAATCCAATTCAATGTTCAACTGATCCTTACATGTTCGATGACAGTGGAGACGGTATTGGCGAACAATCGCTAATTAGCTGGCAAGACTTGTTTGATTCCAAGAAGAATTATGTGAAGAATGATACAATCAAATTGGATATCAGCATTGCAGCCGCTGACTTAGAAGAAAACACCAGGAGCAAAATAACATTCGAAAATGTTGACACGTGCTGTGAGGAGGATTGCTTCACTACGTATCGCTTGTCAATCACCAATATCAAACATCTGATGGGTGTACGAACGCCAAAATTTAACATGCGAAAACTGCCTTGGGCCTTGACAGTTTTCAAAAGTTCTTCAACTTCACTCAATGTTCTGTTGGAACCCAAGGTATCCGTTGATAAGTTTTCATGCAAAACAAAAATGTGGATCAGACTAATATCGTCTAAAGGTGATGAAAAGTCAATCGAAGAAGCCGACAACGAAACTTTCGAAAGTGCGAAGAAAATATTTGTGGTTGAAGTTGTTTCATGGGACGAATTATTCAAGCCGGAAAATGGATTCGTGAACAACAATTCAATCACCATGGAAGTGGAAATCAAAATGAGCAAACCAGAGGTTGTTATTGACGATCAAAATGACAGAGCAACAAGCTCAGATTGTGATGCTAAGCCGAAAAAGATGGAATGTTCTATCTGCTTTGAAGCCATTCGCAATCAAGACGTGTCTTCAACCAAATGCGGCCATCTGTTCTGCAAGGGATGTATCACAAACTCAGTCAAGGCTCATGGAAAATGCCCATTATGCAATGCTGTTGCTACTGAGAATGACTTGCGTCCCGTCTATTTGCCATTGTGAGTTCCACTTGAACTTTCTTTATTTTCGAAGAATTTATTTCAGAAGTTTCTAAAAATATTGTGATTTTTTGTGTTTCCAGCACAAACTAGGCACATCAATGGATGGAGGACGATCGAATAGAGCAAAAAGAATATTCGACTACAATATACAACGCAAACCTGCTAATAAATACCCAAGGCTTTGATTCTCTAACCAGGAGCAGTGCTTTTTAATTAGATTCATTTCATTACATCAAATTCCATTATTTTCCACTCAACATTTTTTCGATTACTCTCATAGCCGTTTAAATCGATCATCAAGTTTTCAGAAAAAAATAATCACAATATATTAGTATCAGTCTAAACAGATTTGTTCTATAAAGTAATCAAAAGTCCAAACATTCTGTCTTACCGGTTAAATTTTAGTCGACTTTAGAAAATAGTGAATAATTAGCATGAACAATAAGAATAACATCAAACACAAAAGTCCACAATAAGACCTGAAAATCGAAACCTATTGTGAAAAAAAAATTATTTTTGAATTTAAACATCCTGAACTAATTTCAAATCTCAACATGAAATAGTATGTAAGCAATGTCGTTATGGAGAAATCATATAAAGAATTCATTTCCAATATCCTCAAAATCATGTAGGTTCAATTTATTCGTGTTTTGTTGTTGCTTGTTTTATAAAAAACTTTGCTTTTGGAACGTGAATAAAATGAAAAAATGATTACACCAAGACATTATGTCAGCTTTGTTGGTTGGAAATCGTCAATTTCTTACTACATTCTCATTGGCATTCAACATTAAAACTCTGCTTACAAAAAACAATTGTTTATTTTGTTTCAACTGATCAATTCTATGGGAGTTTGTTTTGTTTATTCATTGACAGAGATATTCAATAGAAGAAAATTTACGTAAAATCGCCACTTTTTGCAATTTACTCAAAGAATTTAGTATGGAAATAAATCAACCAATTTGAATTGCCGCCAAAAACATGCCAATAGAAAACTTATGCATTCGTTAGGTGGCAGATGTATAACCCTGTCGGTATAAAGAAATAAATCGGTAAATTTTCGTAACAATTTTAACTAAATCGCTAATAGGAAATAAGGAAAAAAATCACAATAATAATGAAATGTTGTGTTTAGCATAAACACAAATGAACATCAACTGACGTTTGTCTAAAACCGTCGGCTATTCGCAAGAAAGACTAATAATGTCGCAATATTTAACCAGCAATTTTTTTTCACAATATCTGAAAATTAGATTGATCCGAACGTTGAAAATTATAACATATTCCGCGCATTTGATTCAATTCATTTTCAAAATAAAACTCTTATTGTTTCTTGAATATTGTTGTCTAATTTCATTCCAATCAGTACCAATACTAATGGGAATGCAGCAGTAAATTGGCAGAGCTCCATGTGTCAAAATGTTTGACAGTTCACTTTGACTTTAAAACACACTTCAGTTTTGGTTAAACAACGGTGTTTATTGTACATTCAAAAGCAAACTCTCACGGATTAATTATTGGATTGAAGCAGATCAATTGATTAGCTGAGCGGAAAAGAAAGGTAAGTAATAAAAGTTCGGATTTGAAAACACGTACATTTTCAAAGCAGAAATTGGATCAAGTGTTGAGGACAAATAAAAACAACAAAAAAATCATTTTCAGAAGAACCATGACAGAGGCAAATGCCATATCGACGGTTTCAGAAAATAATTTTCGTCTCAAGATTTCGGAAGTCAGCAAATTGAGTGCAGTTTGGTCACCTGAAGTTAAAGTATACGACGTTCCATGGAAAGCAAAGATTGCGAAGAAAGCAGAATGTCTTGCTGTTTTTTTGTTTTGCTCAAAGGAGGACAACACACCGAATTGGTCACATGTTGGATTTGCCACATTCAAACTGTTACCATATAGTGGCGATGAAAATGGAATTGAATATCGCTGTGATCCGTATGTCTTCGATGCATCAGGACTAGGTTTCGGAAACTTTACATTTATTAAGTGGAATGATTTATTTTCCCCTGAAAAAAATTACGTAAAAGATGATACGATTAATATTGATGTGAAAATTGAGTCTTGTCCAAATGAGGGAAGCTCAAGCAAGTTGTTGTTTGAAAACACCGAAAAATGCTGCGAAAACCATTGCACATTCCGATTGACTGTTACCAACGTCAAAACTTTGATGGCCGTTCAATCGCCGAAATTCAAAATGCGAAATTTGTCGTGGACGTTGACAGTTCACAAGGATTCGTCCCATCTTGGCGTACGTTTGCAACACAGAAGCGACTCAATTGCGATTTCATGCGAATCACGGATGGCGGTCAAATTAATTTCATCGAAAAATGAAGTAAAACCGATTGAACCCGTTGCGCAGACCAACAATTTTGTGTACTTAGGATGTTCAACTCAACGTATCATTTCATGGGATGAGCTATTAAAGCCCGAAAACGGATTTTTCAATGATAATTCCATCGTCATCGAAGTGGAAATCAAAGCAAGCAACCCAGAAGGTGCCGTTTCCAACAACGAACCGAAACGATTGAAATTCGAATGCGCGATCTGCTTCGAAGTTTTCAGCAAACAAGAAGTCTCCAGTACTCAATGCGGCCACTTGTTCTGTTCACCTTGCATCAGAAATTCCATTGAAGCTCGTGAAAAGTGTCCGTCATGCAATGCCGATGTCACTTTGGAATCATTGCATCACGTTTATCTACCGATGTTGGTTCTTTTTGATATTTTTGATAATTCATTACTTTTAACATAGGAAAAATCAGACGATTAATTTGATTTGATTTAAATTCGCAGTGCAAACTGAATACAATGCCATGGAGATGAGGATGTAAGGACCATCGAAGCGTCAACCAGTACAAAGTCTTCGTTAGCACCGTAATTCAAATCGATGGCTTCATACCCTTTTTTCGCATCGTAGCGGTTTTGAATGATTCTAATCATTATCATTAACTTGAACTCCAGCAAACACACTTTGATCCAATATTCTATTCATATCCACACAAAAAGTTCGTAAATGTAAAGTAGTACTAAGACATTCCAATTTTCCATTTTTGTATCTCAAAATTAGGATAAGTTCATGTTAGCGACAATTATAATAAGGAGAGAAATGTAATCCGTTCAATCGGAGTTGCTGTGGTCAAACTCTGAAAACTTATGAGTATATTATATTTCGTACTTCGAAAAGTTTCAATTTATTCAATGTGACTGTTTGGCTTAAAATTGAAAATCAATCATTCTATCATAAAAACACATATGAATAAAAGCCATTTCAAATTCCAACCACTGTCAGTAGTCGTATAAGGATGGGTGAATTTTTCATATCGCATTTAAATCTGAAATAAAACATACATTTTTGTACAACAAAGAATTGGAAGTGGATAAAACGTTTGGTTATTTTTCCATCTCATTGAATCTAAAGACATTAATTCGCTGTGATTAATATGTGAACGGATTTCTTGCATAGAATCTTAATTCAATAGAATCATGACATTTTGTTTCGTTGATTTCAGCATTTCAATAGAGTTATACATCTTTGTTCATATATTGGACTGAACTAATTGGGTTGCATTCAAAGTGTGAATCATAACCACAATTTGAAGATCTGTCAAAACGTTTGACAAGTGGTTTGCCGGTCACATTCACATAGCTTGTGTGTGCAGCATCATTCAGTCACAAAATCACTCTTAGCCGATTACACATCGTGTTGAAGTCTAGGTTGAAGTAAATACAACAGTGACTAATTCGCTGTGCGAGAAAGAAGTAACAAAGTGCTATCGAATAAAACTTCAATCAAGGGAAGAGAAACGAAAAATCTAAAATTTGTGCATCATGTCAGAAACAAAAGTGATTGCGAAGACTCCGAAAATAAACTTCAGTCTCAACATTTCGAACATAAGCAAACTCAACGAAATTTGGTCACCAGAATATTTGGTTCAAGGAATTCCATGGAAAGTGAAAGTTTGCAAGAGAGTCAATGAACAAAAAGAAAGCCTGGGCGTTTATTTGTACTGTGCAGAGAAAGAGAAACCAGAAAATTGGTCGCATGTGGCATTCGGCACATTCAAGTTGTTGCCGTTTAACAATAAAATAAATCCAGTTGAATATAACTTAGATCCCCATGTTTTTGATAACAGTGGTCGCGGCATTGGCACTATGTCACTAATTGACTGGCAAAATTTGTTGGATGTCGGAAAGTATTATGTAAAAAACGACAACATCAATTTGGATATCAAGATTGGAGCCGCTGATCCAGATGAAGATGCCAAAAGCAAATTCACATTCGAACATATTGAATCGGGCTGTGGGGAGGGTTGCGTGACTTCATTTCGCTTGTCTGTCACCAATATCGAACATTTGATTGCTGTACGATCGCCGACATTCAACATGCGAAAACTTCGTTGGGACTTTTCAGTTTACAAAAGTCGTTCATCTATGCTAAGTGTTTGCCTGAAATCGAAAGACATCAACGAAAAAATTTCGTTCAAATCGAAGGCAAGTGTCAAATTGATATCTTCAGAAGGCGATGAAAAGACGGTCGAAGTAAATCGGGTTAGATCTTATAAAAATTCAAGCGAACTATTTCAATTTGAGGTGGGTTCATGGGATGAATTATTCAAGCCAGAAAATGGATTCGTCAAAAACAATTCGATCATCATGGAAGTGCTAATCATTATGACCAAACCAGAAGGTGTTCGTGATGATCAGAACGACAGTGCAACAAGCTCTGAGCCACAAGCAAAAGTGCGAAAAATGGAATGTCCCATCTGTTTGAAGACGATCGGCGATCAAGAAGTATCTTCAACCAAATGCGGCCATCTGTTTTGCAAGGCGTGTATCACCAATTCCATCAACACTCATGGAAAGTGCCCATCATGCAATGCTGTTGCTACCATGAACGACTTGCATCCAATTTATTTGCCATTGTAAGTCACGCATGCACTTTCTTTATTTTAAAAGTAAATTATTTCAATTTTTTTTTCTAAAATCGACCTTTCTTGAATTTACAGCACAAAATAGGCACATCAAAGGATGAAGTACGATCGAATGGAGCGAAGACTTCAAACGACCACAATTTACCACAAAAACCTAATATTGAATGCCCAAGGCCGTGATTCTCCAACACAAAGCAATGCTTGTCATTTAGTTACAATTCATTATATCATTTTCCATTGTTTTCCACCCAAAAATTTCTTTGTCATCAAAGACAGAATTATCTTAATTCCATACTCCGTCGAAAAAACAACGAAAAAAATATCAATAGTTTTTATTTCAAATGAGTTTTTTCATAGAGTAACTAAATAAAACTGTATAAGCTGAGCCTCGTACAGTTTATTCCATTTTAAAATGTGTCAACTCAATCGTATGAATAACAAACACAACATTGATTGGAAAATTTTTCCACACCAAGATTTGTAAATCGAAACCAATTAGTGATGGTGTGATTTTTGAATTATTTCACTCTGAACCAATTCTTTAGTTTTAATGCTGTGTTCCCAGCAGTACATTTATATAGGCGTATAAGCAAAATCATTTTGTCCCGTTTCAAAAATTTCAATAAAGAGTTAATTTTCATTCCACAAAAAAGTTCATACATCACATTTGTTAATGCTTTTGTTTATACCGTAAGAAACCTTCTCTAGTGTCTATACAGCACTGCATAAGGACCGAAGAATGAAACATTATGTCGGATTAAAATCAACAGCATCATATTTGAATTCAACATAAAATCTCTTCTTGGAAAAATGAAACTCTAGTTTCTCATGAACTTGACCAAATTTATGAGCGTTTCTGCTCTGTCGTTTGGTTTGTTTAGATATTTGAAATGTAAACAGTGCTGAGAATGAGTTTTGAGTGATCCGAAATAAGAGAGCGAACCGCAACCAAGCTCTGAACTGTCAAATCGCGCGACATTCTCTGTTGATCCGGTCAAGTTCACACGAACTGTGTTTGTGCACCAGATTTCATTCTTGAGAAGAAAGTCTTTGGCTACGCATTGATTTTAGACAAACATCTCGCGTAACTGACACGTGCCGCGGAACGGATTTTTCTTTGAATATTTCCTTAGTTCACAAGTTGTAGTCAACGAACATAAATAGTTTTGTGAAGAAAAATATATAAAGCACAAGCAAAATGAGGTAAAGTGTTGAAAATATTTTACATTTTCTCGTTTTTATTTTGGTTTTATAAAACAAGTAGCACAACGAATGCAATGGCGGTGTGTCAGTAATGTGAATTTTTTTCGAAGAAAAATCGTTTGGAATTGGTTTAGTGATCGACATTTTCGAAAATTTGGAACAATTTATGGCTAATTTCGATACTACCGTATGGAAATTAGAATTTCTCGCAACCAATTTCGCAATGTGTTGAAAGTGAAAGAAATTCATGGGGACGATCGATCAATCACAAATCAATTGAACGCATTTTTTTTTTCTGAAAATCATGAAATTTGCAATAAATAAGAACGAAATTTTGCTGACGATTTATTGCAAGATTTCCAACATAAATTCATGATTGTGAAATGTGAATCAAACATAACCATCCATATTGCTTCAGGAAATTTGTGGTATTTTTCCATTCCAATGTTAAATACTCATATTTTTTGTATTAATTTTGCAGTTCGTTGAAGCTCCAAAAACGGCTCGCAGCCTCGGTTCTGCGTTGCGGCAAAAAGAAAGTTTGGTTGGATCCAACCGAAATCAATTTGGTTGACATTGCCATGAAAAGTAAGTCACGTTGTTTTTTGCAATTGATAATATTTTAGTGCAATTTTAGTTGAATCATTAGTGATTTCGATCGAACTGTTAAGTGTTCAATCATCATTCAAGCCAATTGATACACTGGCATCGCAATGTACATGTGTCAAATACAAATGAATGTGTTCTGCATTGCGGTTCTGTGCTGTTTCATTTATTGCGTCACAACGCTGTATCTAAAATGGATCAATTTTTTGCCTTGCAAAAGCCATTGGGATTCCAAGTTGGAATTGATTTTCAATTCAAATTCTTTGTCAATTTCTTGTTTGAATATGTTCAATTTCCATGTTGGCCACACGATTCATTCTAATGACATTCAATCAATGTATGACGTCACCACATGAAAATATTGTGAAATAAATCCAATACCCACTTCAAATCATAACCATCGTTGACATTTTTTGTTTCTCTTTCTCAATTTCGCAGGAAAAGACATTCGAAAGTTGATCAAAGACGGTATCATTGTCAAGAAGCCGGCCGTACGTCGCTCCAGATATCGTGTGCGCAAAAATACGGAAGCTCGTCGTAAGGGTCGTCACAGTGGTATTGGAAAGCGCAAAGGTACAGCCAATGCACGTATGCCATCCAAATTCATATGGATGCAACGTCAACGTGTTTTGCGTCGCCTGTTGAAAAAATACCGCGACAACCGCAAAATCGATCGTCATTTGTACCGCGAATTGTACATGAAGTGCAAGGGCAACGTGTTCAAGAACAAGCGTGTGCTGATGGAATACGTTCACAAGAAGAAGGGCGAAAAGCAACGCGCAAAGGTGTTGAACGATCAAGCTGAAGCCCGTCGTAAGAAGGTGCGTGAAGCACGTAACCGACGCGCAGAACGAATTGCCGTCAAAAAGCAAGAGCTCCAACAAATCCACGACGAAGAGGACAAATTGGCCGCAGCCGCTGCTGATAAAAATTAAGTCATTTTCAATGGCAACCATCTCAAACCTTTTTTTGTTTGACGATAAAGCGATTAACGCCACAATCTAGTGAAGTCAACTCAAAAACAAGTTTTTGCCCATTTCATAAATAACATAAATCAGTTTGTTGCCTTAATCATTTTCATTTTTCCATTGTAGCACATATATTCAAGTGTAAAACGTAAAAAAAATCATCCGTTTGTTCGTCTTTGAAAACTGAATTACTGTTCAATTCCAAACATTCATATTTTCTATCCGACAAAAAAATCCGCAAATTAAATTCAATATAAAACGACAAAAAATGTATCAAAAATGAAATGATCAACGCCAATAAAAATATCAATAAAAAAATGAATGGAATATTACCAATCGAAATTTCAAATACGATTTGCTTTTCAAATTAGCGCGCGAACTACAACTCTATTACGTTCAGATGCTGTCAAATTGTCAAACGGATGACAGATGGTTTTGGCGCTCGCGTTCACAGCGAACAAGCATCGTGTGTTCATTTCACAGGAAGACAGCATAGCGGTTTGCACTGAGCATCAATATACCACAGGAAAAGTGTTTCGTTGTTTGGAAGAGAAACAAAAACATCAAAAAGGTAAGAAATGTTGTCAATTTTCCATTTCCACGAACATTCGGCCGATGACTTCACCAAAACATTACGAATAAATCGGAAATTTTCGCATTTTCAGTATCAAAGTAAGAAAATGGCTGCACCAGACTCGGTATCGATTGTATCGCAAGTGAGTTTCCGATTGAAAGTGCAAAATGTAAGTCAGCTGAAAGAGGTTACTTCGCCGAAATTTGTGATTCAAGACATCCCATGGTATGTCCGTCTTACAAAAACCGTCGAAGAGGCTGAAGAATTTCTGGCGATTTATTTGTGTTGTGAAAACAAAGACAAATCACCGGAATGGACCCAACCAGCGGCTGCTTCATTCAAATTGTTGCCGTTCAATGGTAATTCGACCGCAAAGGAATATCATTTGGAGCCGAATGTTTTCGATCGAATTATGACCTCAAGTGGTTGTTCATCGATTTGTTGGGCTGATTTGTTCGATGCGGCAAACCATTATGTGAAAAATGATGCCATCGATTTAGAGGTGAGCATCACAGTAGCCGATCCAAACGATGAATACAAAAGTGATTCGATTTTTGATGCTATCGACAATTGTTGTGACAGCGGTCGAGTTGGTACATTTCGATTGACGGTGAACAATATCGAAAATCTCATGGCTATTCGATCATCACAGTTCATGCTTCGCGATGTGCCATGGTATTTAACCGTTTTCAAACATTCGTCGCATCTTGGACTGCGTTTGGATGCCAGAGATTCATCGGACGAAATCATTTGCAATGTGAGCGCATCGGTTAAAATCAGTTCGTTGAACGAACAATTCCAACGAGTCCAGAAAATTGAGGCCAAACAAGTTCAACGCAAAGATGGTTTGGTTATGGAACGACTGATTACATGGGACGATTTGATGCGGCCACAAAATGGCCACATTGACAATGGTTCGGTTACATTGGAAATCGAAATCAATGCAGAAAGGCGACTTGGCGTGGCAACGCCATGTGCACGAAAACGACAAATATCGAATGAGTCGGCTCAAATCAAAATGCCACGAATGGAGTGCCCGATTTGTAATGATGCCATCGAAATTCACAACATATCGTTCATTCCGTGTGGACACACGTTTTGTACACCATGCATCACGAATTCAGTCCGAGATCGAAAGGCTTGTCCCATTGTGGCGTGCAGCGCTAAAGTCCAACCGAGACAAGTGAAACTGCTTCGTTTGCCAATGTGAGTATTTTTCTTTGTTTTGTTCGTACATCTTGGTTCTGAAGGCAGAGAATCCGGGTTTTTCTATATATTTTCATAATCGACTGCAACATTAACTTAACAAGTGTGTCAATTGTGTATTTTCAGTGTGTCCAATTCCGAGTGACGTTTGGAGCTAAAAATCAAATAAGAATCCAGCGAATACCGAAGTGACGACCATTCAACCAATTGAAACGCGTTAAACCAACAAAAATGCATGCAAAAAGGAGTTTAATCGTTTTGTAACGTGAGTTGAATTAGATAGAAACAACGAAAGAAACCAAACAGAAATTGTGTTTAGTTAAATGAATATTTGTGTATGTTTTCATATCAAAATAACAAGAGAGCTAGGTTTTTCCTTGACCATTCGAATTTAAGGTCATTTTGACATAGAATTTAAATTGTTGAAAAGATTTTGTTGACAAACCGTGCTTTGTAATTATACAAACAGACAGTCTGAAGTGAAAGATTTGTAAAAAAAAATTGTATCAAACATAAATTGCTAAAGCAATTTCTAAGTATTTATCATATTGAAACGAGTAAGCTTGATTATTTGTTAAGCGAGTTATAAATAAGTGTGTTCAATGTTCAAAACTGACGTGTTATACCGAAATTGTTGTTTGAAACCAAATGACTAGAGACATTTTCATGAAAATTTGTATCAACTACAATCGAACGACATGCAATTCATTGAATTAATTCAGTATTTTTGAACATTAGTTCGGATTTGGTATTTTCATCTGGATCAGCGACTTCAATCGTTATATTCAAAACGACAACAACTTCAATGCCACATGCGACCAATCTGCCGGCTTCTCTATCTTCGCGCAGTATAAATCGACGCTTAGGCTTTCTTTCGCGTCACTAACCTTCTTGCAAACTTTTGGAAGTCGTTGAACCATCGAATGAATAATGAATTTACCAGCATAATCACAAAAACATAGCGTCATTTTTACATAAATCATAATTTATTGTATTTATACAGATCAAAATTCGAAATTAAATGTGTAAATGTAATATTATTGCAGAAAATAAATTGCATAAACAATTTGCATTGTTGTAAATTCTCAAAAATTTCCGTATTGAATGCGATCTATATTGTGACTGTTTCACCAAAGCAAAAAAAATACACCCTATGAATTTTTGTTCACAAAAAAAATCATTGGTTGAAATCTAAAATTTGAGTTGAAGTAAAAAAAAAAGTTCTCCCACAACCCTTTATTGTAGTAATAAGTTGAAAAAGTGAAATTAAATCATAAAAAAATGGAAATGTGTGGACTTTTATTAAAATTGAATTTAATTGCAATACACTTTTACTCTATGTGAATGACTTCTGAATCGACGAGGGATTTTCTGCTGAAAAATGAATCGGTCGACGGTTTCATAGGTTTTCTTGATCAATGGCTGGTGAGTGAAAATTGACAATAGATATTTGAAGTTGCAATCGAGTCAAAAGTGAATTTTAATTGAAATAATTTGCGTGATGAAGTCAATTGTTTTTTGATTAAACCCATAGTTATTGTCTCTTCATTGCAATATTCGGAATAAGGTGAAATTGTGTTCGAAATATTGCGAGAATTTGATATTTCTCGTTTTGCATTGAATTGGGTGTGCAATCAATTCGAATGAACAATCAACTTATAGTTTCATTACGAGCTTCTCTGTATCGAATATGAAATTCCCCGGCAAAGCCGCAAATATCGAGTTGGCTAGATGGAAATAATGAGCATATGGTATCGTTTGCCTGTGCATTGAAACGCTGTCAGTTTCCTTTGTCCAAGTGACCGCATAGGTTTTAGTATCTCTTTAACTTCGAATCTGCCGTACACGTTGAATACAATTGACAGTTATTACGGCCCATAAATTATAATAAATTGCCGATATACAATCATATTCATATTTAAATGACTTGCCACATTAGCCATATATTGAGGACACGATGGCGCCATTGCCGATGGCCGAACCGCTCAAAAACGGACAAGACAGCCGAAAATATGCAAATTATACCGTTATAATGAACGAATGAATCGCCGACCATTAAATTAGTTGAAATGAATCCACGATTAGTTGTCCGTTCGTATGTATCGAGATTTATGGAGTAAGTTGTACGGTAAAGTGACCATCGTGCATCGTCTACCAGCGATGAATATGAACGGACGAAATATTTTCCACAGTAAATTTGCATAACCGCATGCAAAACGAGGAGCTCAAATATGAAATTATATCCGATAAAGTGAACAGCGTGACTCGGATGATTTTGTGCACCACTTTATGATCAAAATTCTCTCTAAATATCAAAATTGGTTGGCTTTGGCTCGGTCACGACAGTTAAATCGATATTTCCAATAAACTCTTTCATCAAAGTGGCCAACATTGTAATTCAAACACTTTTAACCTTTGTTCAAATTTGCCAAACAAACAAGAATACATTGAAGACAGTTTCATTTTGGTGTCTGCTCGCATTAGTTGTTTGTATATTGATTTTCAGAAATAGAATACGATAACAAAAACATCCAAAACTTTTATTTCTTGAACAAATCAGAAGAACGGTAAGTAGACTTGAGTTTCATGTAAATGCAAATGAACAACAATTAGACTTTGCAATTCTTTTTCCCAAACTATTTTGTCCAATTCGTTTCAAATTAGCATTTAAATGGAATACTAATAATAGGTTTTAAAGTAGAAATTCTTAACTGCAATTTGTTTATATTGATTCAATCAGAGTCGAAATCAGTAGCTCATTTTACAAGTTTTGACTTTTGATAAAAGCATTTTGTATTGGATATTTTAGTGTTTGCAATCTCTTAATTGGGAATTTATTCTGCATTATGTATAATTACGTTACACTACAGCTCTAGTACCATTGTTTCCAGAAAGTCGACAAAAATCCCCTTGGAATCGAAATCCTTATGAGCTGCTCCTAGCGAATCGCTAGGTGAGTGTTAAGGAAGCAAAATTATGCGAATTGTATGGGAGAATCACTTTCGACAGCTCCACCAAAAAAGCCGAAATAAAAAATACGAAATGAAAAAAGGTCAATTGCTAATTTGTTCAAAAATCATAACCTTTTTATCACAATAATTGAACAAATATTTCGTAGAATTTTTCGATATTCAATTTTTTTGTTCTGAAAATTGAATTAAATTTATGATTGAATTTATTCAACTATTCATTTTTTATGTGGTTTCCATTGTCAGTTTTTTCAATTTTCAATTCAAAATTTTTCCACATTCATGCTAAAAAAATGTTCGCACCTCCAGCTGAGCCATCAATATGGGTAGAGCTGTTGGCTGTGTCGCTAATAACATTTCGTGTGCAGCAATGACCGTATACAACGACATTGCTTAACATAAATATGCGGACAAATCTCAATATATTTCGCAACAGTGTACAATTATTTTGCCATTTTCGACTAGATTTTACTTTTTTACTCTTTCGAAGTTCACCATTTTGCGTTGAAAATCGTGTGTAAAAATATTGCAAGAGGAAAAACCAAATGAGAAATGGTGCGAGAGAGAATTTTCGAATGAGTCAAAACACAACAATTCATAAAGGGCTCATTTATCGCGCGTTACCGAAACAGAGAAAGTGTGCGCCTGGAAAAAGAAGCGAAAAAAACCCGGTATGTTTTGATATTTATTTATCTGAAGGGATACAATTTATCTGAAGTGTTGGCCTAGTTGTTCTCTGGCCCAATAAAAAACTATGCTGAAAATTTGCTGGACGAGAGAAGAAAAAAAGTCCGCTTTTTATGCTTTGGTGATTCTAAAGAGAGAGAAAAAATAGCGAATGCACCAGAATGCGCGCGCGAGTTCAACGAATGAGATGTGATTGTGTTAAAAGCTTCCTGTTGAACGTGAAATTGCGGACACGGGGTGGTGGCGATGTTGTATTGTTTATTACAATCGTTGGGAAATAGCTGCGGAAAAACCATAGCGCGATTGTTTATGTTCTGGACGAGCGTGCATTTTGTGAATGCTATTTAGCTACAGTGGACTAACATGTGTTACGTGCGGTCTCCGTAGTTCGCCTTGAATATTGCCATCGCATCATTTTGCGCCGGAGACGTGCATCGAATATGTTCGAACAAACGAGACGCGCAAAACGTAACATGAATATGAGTGTGAGTTGTGCGATCAAAGACCGTAGCACACACACATTTCACGGGAATGTGAGCATTGAGCAAGCAACGAAAAAGAGAAAAAAAATCATCGACTAAAATTATTGAAAATGCAGTAAATTACGACGAATGAAATACTGTAACAAAACCATTGGGAAAAATGCGCGGCCACAACCAATAAACCATACACTTTTTTGCCCTCTGAATAAAAACACAAATTGGATCGTGTGCAAATGCTCAACCAAACGAGCTGTTACTGCAACTCTCGCATATCAACCAAATCAATATTACATTTTTTTCTCTCTCTCTGTGTGTGTGTGAGTGCATGCGTGTGATGTTTTCATGCAAGCAGCCCCAAAAAAAACACACACGATGCCAAATGCTTTTGTGGAAAGTGAGACAAATGCAATAATGAAATAGTTTCGAATCGAAATGGAATAAAATCCATCTTTTCAGCACTTCGAATCCCGGTTAAAATGCCAACAATTTCCCAGCACACGAACACACACACACAAAACCGACTGAATTCAACTTGAGCTGGGCTATTTGCATTGTTAAAATTCTGCAGCAGTGGCGAGAAATGAAAGTGAGAGAAAGACAAAGAGCAAGAGAATGACTGGAAAAAACCTCCCCGAATATAAATTGTTTACATTCCACACAGCAGTCATCGGCCATTAATTATCTCTGAAAATATGTGTAAATGTGTTTCTGGCTGCTCCATTTTCCCGCAGTCTCAAACTGACAGCCGACACTCGGACTCGTTCGTTCGCCTTACTGTTACATGCATACGGCATTCACTCGTAGACGTACCCACATCAAATGGAATGGACGCATCTGAATAGTGTTTATTTTACTAGTGATTTATTTCCAGCATTGGCACGTTCTATCCGGATGCTGTGCTACATTCAAATCTTGAGTTTGATCAAATGAAATTTTGTTTGTACGCCACCTGTAGTTATAAGTTGAGCAAATAGACAAACTCAATTCGGCATCATCTGTCTTTGTGGCCAGTGTGAGCGAACGAGTGTGTGTGTGTGTATGCTGTGTTCCATCGTAGCTTCACTGCTTCAATCGGCTCATCAACGAATGTCAGTTTTCGCAATGAGATTTTTCGGGGGAATTTTTTTTTCACAAATCAATTCAAACCCAGTCGAAAGATGACGAACGCAAATCCATTCGGGTTGAAACCAAAGAACGGATGTGATTCCGATGTGAGCTCCTCATTTATTTACTCTATCACCTCAATGCATGGAAATGGGTTTGTTCGCCCATCGAGTTTCAGGCATAGTGGAGTGGGAAACCGTAATTTCATGGCTACGTCGTTGTTGTTAATGTGAGCGTCTGCAGTTTATTTGCATATTTTCAGTGATGTCAAATTGTGGTTTTTGCAAAAAAATGTCTACCCTGAAAATATTTTATTTTAGACTCGAGACTTGTTGTTGTTTTTGTTTTTGTTTAGTGTTGGCACAATATATCCAGTTGAAGCAAGTCAAAACACGTATTTGCGTTGGCTTCCCAAAAGCCAAACACTCATTTCATCCGCTCTGGAAACCATCAAAAATGTCAGTGTTAATTATGTTTCGAAAACACGCGTGCCCAACACTTCCCTACCATTGACTCTTGTTGATGATTCTCGGCTCGTTTGGTTAATTCCTTACACACTCGCATAGACACACACACACACAAAAATACATAATACACACACATATCAGACAACATAGTATACTTTAGTAGAATCCCAACTAGAGACTCAATTTTCAATGCATAGATAATTAAGATCCCAAACACTACTTTTCAGCTTTCCCGTACGCTCCCGCTCTCTTGCTCTCTCTCTCTCTCCCTTTCTCCGTGTGTCTCCATCGATTCGAAAAGCTGCGAGACGAATGGGTAAGTGAGTGTGCTTTTGGATTTATGTTTCCTACACCGTATTCGATCCACTGCATAAATTGAGATT